GTCCGGGAACTCCGAATGTATCTGGACCTCATTTAACTCCTTCATTGTCAGTTGGTTCAGTTCTGTCTGTCTAACGGGAGGTGTCTGTAATTGCTACATGGCACCATGGTTCAGTTTAAAGGTGTTTTGGTAGCAATCTCTGGAAGTTTCTGGTCTCTTTTTATCTCTTTAATACCCCATTTGTTGGGGAATCTTATTGTCTGGTAGAAGGTCAAGGGTACGGCACCTATGCTATGAATCCATGGCTAATCGAGGATCACGTTGTAGGGAGAAAGGGCGTCCAGTATCATGATGGTTGTTTGTTGGTTAATCCTTTCGGCATAGACTAGTAAAGCAATTTTCCTAGGGTGTATTTTTGTTATGAATTGAATCCCACGAGGAGCGTTGGACGACCACTCATGCTTGATTCCTCCAGTCCCATCACCCTGAATGCTTCGAGGAACTTGATATTAGCGAAAGAGCCAAGATCTATCGGTATTCTTTTGACAATGATATTGACGATCTGGAGGGTAACCATGAGCGCGTCGTGATGGCAATTCAGTAATGTTGTCGCCTCGTTATCCATGAATTCAATTGTCAGGTTGGTAGCTCTTTATTGTGATGATCTAGAATGTTGGAACTGTGGGTTGGTTGTAGCTCGAGCATGGCGCTTCGCTGCAGAGTAGCTGACTCCACTAACTTCCGATCCGCCTGAAATGATCTCGCACATTGCGTTTGCTGGGGGGCTTTTAGAGGGGGAGTAACCTGGCACTCTCTGTTGGTAACGGTGTTTTTTCCCTTGTATTTCAGGAACTCATGGAAGTGCCCTCTTTTCAACAGTTTGACAACTTCAAGGCAAAGTGCGATGCAGTCGATGGTGTTGTGGCCGTGATCTTGGTGAAATTCACACCACTTATTGGTGTCTCGTTTTACTCTAGGTTGTTTCAAGTTGGCCGGCCATCTAACCACTTTTCCTAATTCCTTCATCACTGCTACCACTTTAGGTGGCTCAATATTGAGGTTGTAATCAGGTAGCTTATACTTGGATGGTGAATGGGACTCGTCGATCCTTGCCAAATGATGGTCCAGCTGGCGCATGTTATCTCGAACGAAAACTCTTCTCACCGAGTAGGGCTCCATTGTTCTCGCGTCGTGTCGTTTATCGAGGAACCGAGCGCGACGATCCTCGTGGGCACTTTGTTAGGTTCGATGAAACTCATCTTCCTCCCACCTTATCTCAACCCAAGCACGAGCCAACACATCCTCCATGGTGTTGCAGTTGAACTTTGTGAGTTCTTTGTACAGCTCCCCATCTGGAAGCAAACCTTTCTTAAAAGCGTCGACCGCAGTTTCTTGGTTGCAATATGGGATGGATACTTTTCGTGGTTAAATCATCCCAGTAGTCTTATAGGGGCTCTCCGTGATGTTGTCGAATTTGGTATAGGTCACCGGATAGCTTCTCCAATTTTTTACTGCTAGAGATTGCTCTACGAAGGTATCTATGAGCTGGACAAATGAGGCGATGGAGTGATTTAGGAGGTTGGTGTACCACTGTAGCGCAGGCCCTATTAGGCTGAAGCTGAAGCTGAAGCTTTTGCATATACATGCTTCATGAAGGTCCCTTGGTATGGCAGCAGCAAACATTCTTTGCTTGTAAGAGGCTATGTGATTATCCAGGTCGGTAGTGTCGTCGTACGGCTTCATGTTTGGGAAGGTGAACTTGCGGGGCATGTCTACGAGAGTTATGGTATCCACGAATGGCAATTCGGTGTAGCTTTGAGGTTGACTCTTCTTTAGGGGTGTCGGCATCCCCAGGATTTGTTGGATCATGGCTTCTACTTTGAGCCGTTTGGTTAGGGTTTGTTCCACGGCGGTTGGAGTAAAGGTGTTAAGGTTCTAGAGGAGTTGGGAGAAGACTGTTGGGTTAATGTCGATGGCCGTGCTGAATAGCACGGCTTGGTGGGTCGTTCCAGTTAGAGTCTGCATGCGGCACATTTTTGGTGTGCAAGAGAGGTGTCTACTTGCTATAGTAACGTGGTGTGGGCATGTGTCACGGTATTTGGATGGGTAGATTCGGCCACATTTGTAGGGTTGCTTAGATCTTGGTTATTGTTGGCGTTGGTGAAGGTGCCGCCGTCTGGGCTCAGGAACAACTGTTGAGGTTGAAAGAGGGGTTTGGAAGTAGATGCATGATGTTGGTTGAATGACCAATCTAGGGAATAAAATTTATTTACCTTATCCTGGAGAGCTTGATTCTCGGCGCGAATAGCGGCATTCTGTGTTTCTAAGGCTTGATACCTCTTGTTGCTTCCCTGCACTAGTGCAGTGAGTGCTTCTATCTGGGCCATGGTGCCTGGTACTTCATTTTCATTGGGATTGGCCATGAGGGTGGAACGGACTGCGAAGGGTTGACCAACATGTCACACTAGATTGTTTAGTTGGCTGGGCCCCACGGTGGGCGCCAAATTGTAAACACTAAAATTTACAATCAAGTTGAAGAATGAATCTTGTGAAGTGAGTCACTGACAACCTTGGTGGACCTACGAGGTGCCTCCTAGCGTCTCTTAGGGAGTCCAAGCAATGCCAAGGGATTGAGGTAGATTATGGGTTTGGCGATATGAGCAGTAGGGTTTTCTGATGATCTTCCCCTATAGGTGGGTTGACCTTAGCTTATATAGTGAACCATGGGGGCCCGAATCCTAGTAGGACTTTGAGTCCTATTTGGTAAGGGAACTGTCTTTTCGGGAAGAGATTGGATTCTTTGCCTCTATCTGTTGAGGCTTTTTCGATAGAGAATTTTGGTTAGGATTCTGATCCTCGTTATGGACTACTGCGGGCGAATGGGTCAGACCCAGTTTAACTCGGGGGATGGCCAACTCATAGAGCATGCAGGTCCCAAGGTGTTCTAAGAGTGGACCTAATTGGGATTGGGCTAAGGCTCTAGGCCGTCATTCATTATTGTTGCGGTTGGACCTCGTCAAGTCCAATACGAATTTTGGCCCATATATTTTATCCCCCACTCTCTTAAGTTAAAGAGTATCTAGCTTAAGAGACTAGGATCGATTATCTGCGTACGGGATGCGTGTAGGCAATGGTTCTTCAGCAGGTTGCTTGGCCGTCGAGGCGTAATTGGGACGCATGGGAATCGGCTCAGTTCGAGTTACCGAGCCGAACTAAAAAGAGGGTGTAGAGATTGTGGTTATAACGCTCGAGCCTGCTCGGCTCGTCTAGGTTCGGCTTNGGCCTGTACAAAAGAGATGCTATATACACACAAAAAATCAAGGCAAACGCCCAAAAAAGGAGAGCATAGCCCTACTAGCCAAATATGAACAAAATACCTAAAGACAAAGATATCAGTAATCCTAATCAGCAAACTAATAGAATCCCAACCAATGTTTTAAAACCCAGACCGAAGAGCAACCTGCTCTTTAGCCCGGGTCATGGGTCAACCGGTTGGACCAATGACGTTAGCACTGCTAAAAAAAAAAAAAAAAAACTTTTTTTTTTTTTTGAAGAATTTCATATTTTCAACAAGTTAATTACTACCCAACATGATTCAAACTCAATAACAATCCCAGCAACATGATTTAATAACAATCCAAACATGATTTAAATATTTAACAACAATCCAAAGTTCTAAACATGATGTTGTGTTCATCCATTAAAAATTAAATGACAAAATACATACTAATTAACAACAAAACATTTGTTGCAATCGTTTTTTCTTCGAGCCGTCTCCATGTTGATTGAGTTTCACACACTAGCATCAAAATTCATTTTCATCATCACCATATCATCATCACCATCACCATCATCTACATAAATTTCAATAAAAAATAGAAATCATAAGTTAAAACTTGTAATTTAATTTAAAATAGATACTAAGTTGCTTAAATAATAAATATTTGAAACCAATCTTTTAAACCATCTATTGAATCATAAAAAGAAGGGTGATCAGCAACTCCAGCAGGAATAGATCCTTCTCCATATAACATTTGTTTCAATTCCTCATAATTAAGTTCACTAACCTCCTCTTCATCGTCAACTATCCAACCTTCAGTTTTGTCGATACTTTCATAATCAATAGGATCGAAACTTATTTTCTTGTAACACCTCCTAAAATACCATAATGAAATATTAAAAGCATAACAACTAAAATATCAAGGAAAATAACAGATAACAATAATAAGAGTGATGCATAATTGAGTAATTGAGTAATTGACAATGTTTTATACCTGTTTTGTAAACGCAAGTTATAGTGAGCAAAAACGAGATCATTCAACCTTTGATGCTCCAATCTATTCCTCTTTTAGTATGTATGAGCTCAAAAACACTCAAATTTCATTCAAATCCCGAAGAGCTTGAAGTTTGGCTAAGAATTTTTATTACAAACTTTTGCAAATTTGGAGTACTATACCCAAATGATCTCCACCATTTATCTAATTGAAAATTAAATATAATAAATGAATTAGACTTAAAAAACAAAAGAACTCATAAATTTTATAACTATTATGTACCAGGACATGTGGTTTTGGCGGTTTCAAGAGCAAGCTCATGAGAAAAGCTTTCCTCCCAGTTTAAATATAATCTATTAACTTTGTCTTGTTCAAATTGAATTTTTTTTTGGATAATGCACTTGCTTTATTGTCAATAGTATCGAGGAAACCACTCATGACTTCTGGCTTGGCACAAAAAGATGCTTCGTCATATTTAAAGGCAGGATTCAAATACTAAGCCGTAGCATGGATATCACGGCATAACGTCTTATCCTAGCATAGCTTAATGATTCTTGTATTAGGCTTGTACAATCTCTTTTTATTCTTAAACAACTTCTTAATTGCATTTTTCGCTCTGTACATGCCATCATACACATATCCTATTGCAGGCACCTCATCTGAGTCAACAATCCGCAGCAAGTGCATCAATGGACTCACAACTTTGGACACCTTACCCATATCATCCCAAAAATCATTATCTAGAATTATGCCAATAACATATTTGCTTTTATTACTTTTTGCATATCAAGAATCAACAAATGACTTATCTGTCACCATGGCTTGCAAGTTATGTTTGTGCTTATGAAGGCTTATCATTGCAATGAAAGTTGTAGCAAAACGGGTTGTGCTCAGACGAACAATTTCTTTCCAACCCTATTCAATTGATAAATAATAGATGTTAGTCAATTATAAAAAATAAATATTTTGTTATGACTTGACAAGAACATGAGATAAAGATATATTACCTATCTTTTCCTCAACCAAGCTATCAAGAATGTATGAATATATACAAACTTTGTCACCTCAAAAGCACGTTTCGCAAGATAAACGTGATCCGTCTCAGCTATGTCTTTTAACACCAAATTTATGCTATATGCTGCACAGGGCGACCAAGTAATACTCGGATATTTCTCAGACAACATTCTTTCAGCATCTTTATAATTGGATCCATTGACTGAGACAAAATGGACAATACTACTAAGTCCAATCCATAAAGCTATCTCCTCAAATATCTTCAACAATCTCCCAGCATCCTTTACAACATCTGAAGCATCAAATGATTTCACAAAAGAAACTCCTTTAGGACAATACATTATAAAATTGATCAATGACCTGTGTGAATTATTGGTCCAACCATCAGCTGTTAAGGTACATCCAACATTTTCCCATGTCTTCTTGTAACTGTCAACAAGAAGTTGCACCTCCTTCGTAGCATCTCTCAACAAATTGACACGCAAACCATGATAATTTGGGTGTTTATACTTAAGCCCAGTTGTAGCTATAGCATCCACCAAAGGCTAAGGATAAATTGAATTTACAACATTAATTGAGATGCAAGCATCATAAAAGAATCTTGCAAAAGTCATGTCTGCTCTCCACATCGCTTCTTTTCCAACTAAACAACTCATAATTGATGGTTGAGATCCAACAATTGTTCTTGGAGCAAAATAGTCACCGACCCCAATCGGGTTTTTTCTTTTTGATGGACGAACCTCTTCATTATCTTCATTTATCTTATCTCCCTCAAATTCATGTACGGAAGCACCGTAAGGATTTGCATACTTACTAGAATTAGCCTTCTCTTTATTCTTTGTCTCAATTCTTTTTAGTGTTTCTCTCATCAAGTATTGAATATCAAAAGGAACTTTTAAACAAGCACTGACATCCCCCTTTGTTCCAGCTAGATGTTATTTTATTCTAAAAATATCTCCCCCTCTAGTTACTTTCCCACAGTGAAGACATATCAATGTCTTCCTTCCATTTTGATCTTGACCCTCAATAACATGTCTCCATGCTATATCACTCATATCTCTACTAGATTGAGAAAAAGAGTTTTGCCCGAACCTGGATGATGTCATTGTCTATTTTTAATCTTTATCAACTTGTGGCACATAAGCAATAACAATTAACAACAATAATTTAGTATACACCAGCATATTATGGACGCATTCAGGGAGGAGCACCAACAATAGACTATCTAAAGAGGACCACAACACCACGTGAGAACATATAAAAAGGAAACCATGATAATCAATGCTTTGTTGTTATGACAGTAAGTTTTAATGTTTTATATGATTATAACAACAACATGGCAAGCTGTGTCATATCTATGCTCTCAAACAACTTGCTTTCAACTTAATTAATTCCTAAATCACCTATTACTAGGAAATTGCCACCACCCAAACTAACCTTTATCCAGTTTACCAGTCATAGCTCCTATCAAGAAAACTACTAGAGATAAACACATGAGAGCATAATAAATCATATTCCAAAGGCAAGTAGCATGACTATCAAACATAGTTTAAGAATTATGACTAGCTCATTAGCTAATAACACTATCACAGAACCTTTCCCATAAGGACTCCACCTCTTATCTAAGTAGTCTCTTAAACACTAATCAACCAATTTAAATTAAAATATGGTGTCATTGAATCAAAGCAACAGATTCAGCATAGTGAACAAATTATGCACCAAATAAAGACATATTAATCATAGCAATAGATTCATCAAATAAAGACAGTGGAAATACCTTTACAAAGCTTAACGGAGGGAGAGAGGCATCGTTGATTCCAACGAAGGAGGGAGAGGTCGTCATTGAGCAAGGGAGAAGGAAGGTGTATCGTCGCTGAAATCCAGCAAGGGAGGTGATGCTGTAGTCGAGCAAGGGAGAGTGGAGTTAAGAGATTGAATTGGGCTTAACTGCAATTGAGAGATTGAAGAGAATGGAATGGTCACTGGTTAGTGGAGACGTAAGAAGGGACAACAGAGCTATGATTTTTAGATGGAAGCTACGATTTTAGAAAGTTGAGAGATTGAAAAGACTAGAGAGGAGTGGAGTCGCGAGAGGAGGCAGGGAGCTGCGATCAATTTTAGGAAAACTAGATTTAGGGTTTTTTTTTTTTTTTTTTTAATTTTAAAGATTGACCTAATTTATCAAGCAGTCTGGTTGGATCGACCAGGTCACGCTATTCATTCGGTTGAATAGCGGGTCTAAGCGGCTTTTTAACTGAGGGCAGGTTTCATATTGGTTCGGATTGGATAGAGGATCGGGTCGTTGTTGAATCGTTGGACCGGCCAATCCAATCCGGCTTTTAACACAGTGATCCCAACCACAAGCACCCATATTCATCAACTCAGCCTTCCACACTTCATCCCAGCTACGCAGCCAAGTTATGAGAAGAATGCACATAACCTTTGATACACTCCATTGAGAGGTCCCATTTAGACATAAACCGACAGACAGAAATGCTATCCTTAAAACGAAGGGAGTAAAGCCGAAGCCTAACTTCTCCTAATGATAGACTCCAGCTTTTCTTCGCTCTTACTACTATTCTTGAAGGTGCGAAAGTTCCTTTCTTGCCAAAGGAAGTAAACCAAGGCATATATGAGTAATTTACCAACAACAGCGGGGGTGCTCTTACCTTTCAAATTAATAGCACTCCATGCAACAATTTCTTTCCACTATCGCGTGTAGGAAAGAACTTCCCCCTTAGCTTGGACAATCTTCTAGATTTTTTTAGCATACTGGCATTGGAAAAACAAGTGATCATGAGTCTCCATAACTGTGCTACAAAGTTTGCAAAGGAGGTATGCACCATTTCGCCAATGTCTCATTTTATCTTGGGTACGGAGTTTGGACTTAAAGGCCAGCCAAGAAATAAAATAATGCCTTGGGATATAGAAACTATTCCAAATCAGACTACACCGGGGGCACACTTGATTAGCAACAGACAAATCCATCCAAGCTTACTTGGTGCAGAACTTAACTCTTTTACCTTCTCTATTCTGGCAAAAAAAAAAAAAAAAAAATAGCTTTGCATGCCTTCACTAGGAGGAGGAATGGAAGAAGATAGTAATGCAGGGACAACCTTAGAGATACTTTGCGGCCAACACCATTGGTTATTTTGAACAACATCCCTGACGCAAGTAGCATGACCCAACCTAGTCTCATAGAACAATCTTGGGGGGGTAAGGAGGTTTAGGGGCCCCAAAGGGTGCCAACAATCATACGAAAGAGGCACACAACACCCATCCCCTAACTTAGATCTAATATGATGTCGAACTTTGTCCCTTAAAGCAAGTAACTTTCTCAAACACCAACTAGCATCCCAAGGCACACAGATAACCCAAAAGTTTTTCCCTTTTAACCTATAAGAATGAACCTACTTGACCCAAAGTGAGTCTCTGCTAGTAACAATATTCCACAAATGATAAGATATAAGCACAATATTTTTGCTCTTAAGAGGCTTGATACCAAGACCGCCTTCTTTCTTTGGACAACAAATATCTTTCCAAGCAACACGACACTTCCCCTTACTCATCTCATTGCCAGTCCAGAGGAAGAAGTGCAACATTTTTTCATAGAAATGGTGACAGAGCTCAAAAGAATGAAAACTCCAGCCCAATAAACTTGAAGAGAAGCAAGAACAGACACAATAAGTTGCAAGCTTCCAGCATAAGAAAGACTTTTACTCTTCCAAGAATTTAAGCGATGTTCCACTTTCTCAATTAAAGGCATGCAATCCCGATGGAGAAGTTTAGAAGTAATCAAGGGATGCCCAAGTACTTGACTGGCAACTTACCCTCAGGGTACCCCATAATATCTTTAATGGTGATTCTAGACTCATCCGAGACATTAAAAAAAAACACAGCACTCTTGGATGGGTTAGGAACCAAACCAAAAACCTTAGAAAAAACTGTGAGAGCCCCTTTTAACACCTAAACTAATATGGTATTCCCAAAGCAAAACATAAACAAAACATCTGCAATGCAAATTTGACTAATTTTCTGCTTGCATACCGGAAGTGAAATCCAAAGCCTTCTCTTTCTTTAATTTTTTGCTCAATGAGTAGAGAAAGAACCTACATAACCATTGTAAAAAGGTAAGGGGAGAAGGGATCTCTTTGCCTCAGACCTCGTTTGTTGGGAAAGAAACTATGAAGTTCCCCATTAATGGATAAAGAGAAGTAAAGAGACGTAACACAAGCATTGATCCACTTAATCATTTTATCTGGAAACCCAAAGCCTCTCAATGAGCTCAAAAGAAACCCCCAGTCGACACAATCATACGCTTTTTGAATATCAATTTTAAACGCACAACTTGTCGTACCAGTATTACAATGTAAGTTTCTAAAAAGCTCCTGAGCCAGCAGGATGTTATCACTAATACGATGCCCCGGGACAAAAGCCGATTGAGTAAAGTTGACAATTTCCCCTAAGCACCCCTTAATCCAATTGGATATGATTTTATAAATCACCTTATACAGCACATTGCAGCAAGAGATAGGACGAAAATTAGTAACACGAAGCGGCACAACAATTTTCGAAACAAGGGCAATAATCGTGGTGTTAACCTCCTTCAGAAGCTTGCCAATGGAAAAAAAACAAAGATAGCCCTAGAAACTTCTTCACCAACCGTGTCCCACGTTGCTTTAAAGAATTTGGCAGAGGAACTATCTGGCCCAGACGCTTTCTCATTGCCGATATCAAATAAGGCAACCTTTATTTCCTCACTATTAATAGGATGGGACATGATATCACATTGCTCCCTAGAAATCTTCTTAACAAACAAATCTTCATACCCTTCCATGGGCTGAACAGGGGGTCCGGTTCCAAGCAAACCTTTGTAGTAGTCCATGAAAACATTAACTAATTGCTTGCCCTCCACAACCAAATCAGAATCAAGCTGGATCCGTTCAACTCTCCTAGAGATGAGCCTTGCCTTTAAAGACTTATGGAAGAAAGCAGAATTAAGGTCACCGACACTCAGCCAATGAATTTTTTATTTTTGTTTGAGCAGCCTCTCCTCATCCAACAAAGCAATCTTTAGCGCACTAGAGAAAATAGCTTCTTGCTCCCGTAAACAACTATCCATAGGATTAGTATCCAAGAGTATCTAGATGTTATCCAATTCAGATCTTAGCACATTCACTTTCAGGTGAAGATTTCTTTGTTTTCTATTGAGGACACGGAACACAGGGTTTAGGGATTTCAATTCGTTAACCACTGAGAACATAGAGCAGCCCCAGTAATTAACCTCCCAAGCTTTCTGGACAACCCCACTGAACTCCTCCTTATGAACCAAATAATTAAAAAATTTAAAAGGATTAGCTTTCAAAGAGATGTGCCCCAGCATGAAAGTCATAGAAGGCCTGTGAATACTTAGACTTTGAGGGAAGAAGAAGGAATTAGCACACGGGAAAGAAGACACAAACTGGGAGTTACCCCTAACTCTATCAAGCTTTTTGAGGACACCACAATCTCCATGAGGTTTGCTGTTCCAAGTGTACTGGATACCAGCTTGAGTTAGATCTTCCACCTCCAACCAGTTAAACACAATCCATAAACTCATGCATACTCAAGGTGACTGAAGTATTACCCCCCAAACATTCTTTAAGCCTTAGAGTAACGTTGAAGTCACCTAACAGAAGCCACGGATGGTTGCCCACCCTGTTACTATAATGGATGAGACTAAACCACAAGTTTCTTCTACTAATTTAGTAGTTAGCTACATAAATGAAGGACACATGGAACAACCTCTGTCCTATAGAATCGCTAACCGAACAATGGATCACTTGGGACTTAGACTCCTAAACTTCCACTCTGTACAAAGAAAGATCCCATCCCACTACAATACGGTAACCTCGATTACTTTGGTCAGCATTGGAAATCTAGTTCTAGTTACGAAACACATTATCAAAAATCTGTTGATAGTTAAGAGAGGCAACCCTCGTTTCTAACAACCCACACAACGCAACCTACTCAGAATGCAAAAAGTGACGAATTTCAGTATGCTTCAAAGGTTGATTAAGCCCTTGGACATTCCAGTAAGCAACATTAGGCACACTCATTGGCACAC